GATGAAATTTTCTTAATCGATCATCGAGAGAATTAACAATCGATTAATCATTAACGTTTTTATATTAAAATAATCATTATTATTATTACTATCTGCACTACTAATCTGCATAAATAAATTCAACTTTACGACATATAAACCGTAACGACTCTAGAGCCACATCAGCCCATTTGACATTATAATGTGTTTAATTCAGTTTTGCGCAACTCTCACAGAAATGAAACTTAAAACCGCATCGCTAATTTGCATAAACTCAGCAAAGATAAAACTCCAGCTCTTGTGTCACTGATGTGGTTAAATTTCTGTCGGATTAAAAGACACGACTCAGGTGAATACAGGTTAGTGTGACCAGATTTGCGTTTGTCAAAACCAGGACACCGTACGGGGGGAGGGAGGTGGGGACTCGTCATCGACATTGAGCGACTCTCACCTGGTTAACTTTTTCCCACTGGACACAGAAACATATGTGCTGCTTTATCCACTGTGCACATGGACTCACACTTGTCCCGAACGCAACGGAAAGTGTGGAATTTCTTGTACAAATCATCGTTAAATACACATTTGTGCTTCGGTACGTTACAGACTGACCCACTGTTTGTGTCTCGCTCCTTCTGATGCAGAGACACATGTACACACCTGTTTGGTCACACTACGCACAACAACCTACATTCGGTTTCTCAATTAAAATTAACGTAATCGATGAAATTTTTAATGATCAATTATCGATTAATCATGCCCATCCCTACTCTGGAATGTTCCACAGTATGGCAATAAACCTTTCTATCATGGAGACCAAACCAGACCAAGTTACAGGTCAGATCTGTGGAGAGGCGACCCTGCTCACAGTCAGAATATCTGTTTTTCGAGGTATTTTTGAACTATAAAACCACCTGGAATTGAATAAATGTAGAGAGCTGTTTAAAGTCACACTGTGGAACATTCCAGGCAGAGCAATGACATCTCCACAGAAACAAGTAAGTGACAGAACCCCAACCAAAAAGTTACACAGTGCAGCTTTAAACCCACAGACATTATGATGTATATCTGAGAGGAAAACATGACATGTTGTTGAATTGAGTTTGCATTATTACTCGGGGCCCCTGTACAACACATACACAGGTGGGGGCCACAGCTGTGGAGACTTTGGGTTTGACTGGTCTAAAGCAGCACTCGCCGCTCTGTTTCACCACTACACAAAATCCAATCCAAATGCACAGGGGGCATTCTGCAAAATCAACTTTTTGAAGCTTCTCCCATGTTCTAGTGTTGTTCCCTCATCAAAAACCTGCTGGAAGAGGTTCTACATGTCAATCATGCATGTTTGAGTAATCTGGAGATCTCTAGTGTGCGCTGCAGACATATTCTTTGTTCATAAACACAGCAGATGCACGTGCAGCTGGAGTGGAGAAAGCGCTGCTGTCTGTGTGGTGAACATGACGTTACAGCATTAGAGAGCTGTCAGCACTAAAACAGTTTATAAATGTGTGACTAAATAAGTTCAACATGAGTGAGTGGGATACGTCCTAACGACCCGTATGTGTTAAATGCAGATGAGTGCATAAACAGTGTTGGGGAGTAACAGATTACATGTACCAGAGTTACGTTAATCAGAGTACAAATTATGAGTTACAGTTACTGTTTCAGTGAGTGGTAATTGGATTACAGTTACTTTGTTGAAATAAATGGATTACAGTGAGCTATTTTCCTGTTTCCACATTATGTTTATTTATTTTTTTATTTTTTTATTTATTTTGTTAATTCCACTCATTGCTGGAAACTAAACCAGGTCCAAACCAGGACTAAAACCAGGTCTAAACCAGGACTAAAATCAGGTCTAAACTAGATCTAAACCAGGACTAAAATCAGGTCTAAGCCAGGTCTAAAACTAGATCTAAACCAGGTCTAAACCAGGACTAAAACAGAACTAAAACCAGGTCTAAACCAGATCTAAACCAGGACTAAAACAGGATTTAACAGGACTAAATCATGCTGCGTGGACGTGTCTCCTCCTCTTCTATCAATAATATTTTTATATCTTTTTTACGTCTTTGTTTCTCTACAGCAAATCAAGTAATCCAAAGTATTCAGATTACGTTCACCTTCCCAACTCTCCGTAAATACACAAAAACGTGACACAAAACTCTACACAGCAACTTGGCCTGATGCGATGTGCAGTAGTTTCGTTAGCGGGATTCACGCTGATGATGCTGTGACGGCGCTCTGAAGGGGGAGCGACTTTTAACTTGAAAACTTGAAACCTGTTAATATGTTGTTTGAATTCAAAATTTCAAAACAGTGAAAGGAACGTGGTGATGTAAATCTGTGACATGTTATAGTTAATAACCCAAAGAAGTCAAATAGTCCCTCTTTAATCAACAAGCAACTATTATTACTGCTTGTTTCATGTTTGGTTGCTAGGTAACATGGATTGTCAAGTCCCATCTGCGGCCAGTGTTGGGAAGGTGACTTTTAAAATGTATTCCCCTACAGATTACAGATTACATTCCCCAAAATGTAGTTTGTAACGTAATCTATTAAATTACTTAAAGTGAGTAACGTAATCTGAATACTTTGGATTACTTGATATTGTCATGGTTTTTAGTTTAGTTTTGGTTTTAGTCCTGGTTTAGTCCTGGTTTAGTCCTAGTTTAGTTCTAGTTTAGTTCTAGTTTAGTCCTAGTTTAGTCCTGGTTTTAGTCCTGGTTTAACCCAAAATGTGAAAACTGAAAATTACCGCCCTGTAATCCATTTATTTCAACAAAGTAACTATAATCCAATTACCACTCACTGAAACAGTAACTGTAACTGAATACAGTTACTCATAATTTGTACTCTGATTACGTAACTCTGTTACATGTAATCTGTTACTCCCCAACACTGGTGGTGTAGCTGGAGGATGGAGCTTGTCACTGATCAGGAAGAAAAACATTTGTGGATTTGACTTCCATGAAAATCCTTGAGGAGAACAGTGCAGCCTCACACAGTGTTCAGCTGGGATGTGTGTGGATCATTTACTGTAGCGTCACGGGCACAGGGCACGATGAGGGCACAGTGAGGGCGTGATGAGGGCACAGGGCACGATGAGGGCACGATGAGGACACGATGAGGACGCGATGAGGGCATGATGAGGGCGTGATGAAGGCACAGGTGAGAATTAGCCCACTGCTTTAATCAACACTGTTATGTGTGATTTAGAGTTAATCTAGGGCTAATGTTAACAGTCACATGTGCCACGTTGCACACTCTGCCAACTCTGGGCCTGTTATGCAACAAGCAACACACTCGGCAAATCCTGGAGATCTGATTCTAAACCTGCTACAGTAAGATCTCATTTACTCAAGTACTAAGATGTACTGATTTTCTTGATGATTGGTGATGATGATTTCCTTCTAATCTGACCACAGCAGCTGACCCTCTCCTCTGTCTGTTATTCTGGAGCACGTTTGTGACATTTTGACCAATTTTGCACAGAAAATGTTTGATGTTTCTATGAAAACATGAGTAAAGTGTCTTGCCTAAGGACAAAACAACAGACCTTGGTCCGAGTGTGAATCGATCCTCCCTTCACGTTGGGGTGGGGGATCACCGCTCCACTCATGTGATGTTCATGAATGAGTCACATCTTTTTCTAAATATGAACTGTCAGAGTCTGATCTGACTTTTTAAAAGAATCAAATTGTAGTTTTAACTCTGATTCACTGAAGAATCACACTGGAGATCTTAATAATAAAAAATATGAATCCAGTATTTGTATTATAATATTTATTATACTGCACATTTGATTTAGCTTCTGCATCGTTTCAAAGAGTAAACTCACTCCCTCTCTGAGTGTGAAGCACTTTAAACAAACCTGAGCTTGGGTCATTTCTCTGAGATGAGTTTGGAGATAAGATGAGCTCAAACACTGGCTCCTGTCATAGAAAAAGACTGATTGATTCACTTTCGTTTTGAGTTTGTGCAAAGACAAACAATACTCATACATACAACATATACAGTGTATTTTTACTACTACTACTACTACCTGCCACTGTCATTCTACAGGGTTTATGCATACTACAAGTTTAGAATTGAGTCTGAGGCAAATGTGAAACAACACCTGATGACATCACAAGGTGGATCTGACTGTTGAGATCTGTGCAGAGGGAGAAAGACGGAATATGCAGGATTACTCAAACGTGTGAATGAAACCAAACTCAGCTCGAGGTTTGTTTTAGAGGAACAGTATTATGACAAAGCTCACAGGAGTCTACACTGTGACACACACACACACACACACACACACACACACGCACACACAGGAGCAGACTGATCCTCTTAGTGTCACTGCTCTACACGTGCAGAATCCGACAGGTGCAGACAGGGAGATCATGATCCTGACTGAAGCCTCATGTCCAAACAGGAGCGGGACTGTCCTAACACCTGACAGGAGCGGGACTGTCCTGACAAATGACAGGAGCGGGACTGTCCTGACAAATGACAGGAGCGGGACTGTCCTAACACCTGACAGGAGCGGGACTGTCCTGACGCCTGACAGGAGCGGGACTGTCCTGACGCCTGACAGGAGCGGGACTGTCCCGACGCCTGACAGGAACAGGTCTTTTTAAACACAAGCCCTGGAAAGGTGTTTGAGTCTTTATAAGGCCTCATGAGTCGTGTGAGGAGGCAGATTTAAAGGCCACGTATGAAAAGGACTTGAGGACTTGCAGTGTAGTGGAGCATTCTGAGTTCTGCAAAGAACAGACACTAAAAATGCAGATTACACAAACCAAATATTGCAAAGCCTTTTTTTTTCTAACAATGATCCAGCTTTATGATGTGGTTTAAATCATTTTAAAGTCATTGACTCTGAATATTGGAGTGAGGAGGAGGTGTGGTGCTGCTGGTGAATGGAACAGAGTCAAAAATAACAGAATAATGTTGAAAAGATGTGTTTTGTGTCCTTATGTATTGATCTAAACGTGTGTGTGTGTGTGTGTGTGTGTGTGTGTGTGTGTGTGCAGACAGTGCCGGAGACCTGGAGCGTGACGTCCCCATGGAGGACACAGAGGCCACACCCACTGCCATAAGCACCGCCCCCTCTACAACCACACCCCCCACCACCAACGGCAGCCGCTCCGAGCCTGGACATGACGGACAGGGACAGGAGCACACGGAGCAGAGGTGAGCACAGACAAACACTCTACTTAAAGATACACTATGGGGCTTTTCTGGTGGAGGCTCTGTCACCTGCTTGTCTCCATGGAGATGTTATTGCATTGCCTGGAATGTTCCACAATATGACATTACATTATCTATCTCCATGGAGACAAGCAGCAGATGGCACCAGGCCAGTGGTCAGATCTGTGGAGAGTAGAGTTGTGCAAAAATATTGAAATATCAAAATATTCTGTCATTTAATGTGATGATACTGTATCGATATAGTGGGCTGCTGTATCGATATGTTGCCAAGAGTGTTTTTTGGTCTATTTTACAGCAACAGTTGTTGAGAGGAAGAAAACTCATGTGACACATTTGACATTTTCACTGTTTTGATGATTCACATGTTTGTGTTTCATATGAACTTTGCACAAGAAGTGATTTAACAAAGACTTTTACTATCACAGCATGATTTAGCCTTTACTTTTTATTGAACCATATCGAATCGATTTGAAATATATTATATCAAACTGAAAGTGCATTGTATTGAGATATGGTGAGTTGAGTTGACAGGGTAGTAGACGTACTGCAGAACATTCCAGCTTCGGTGTCATTTATAAGAGCAACTGTTACGGCTCCAGGCTTTCAGTTGTCATTTATTTTGTGTGCTTTAATTTATTTTGCTGGCTGTTTTGAATCCTGCTGTGAGAGTCCTGGTCCGTGATTGGTGGAGTATCTTTACACCTGGCCAATCCCGCCTCACCTCCAGACTCCTCCCCCTATTTAAGGAGACTGCAGCACCTGTTCGGGGCTGCAGTCTGCCATTTAGTGTTTGTGTTTGTAGTTCTGTAGTTTAGTTCTGTTTTGTGCCTTTTCTTTTATTTGGTTGCTCGATTCTGTTTGTGGGTTTATGTGGTTTTACTTTGAGACTTGTTTTTTAGTTTTGTGTGTGTGTCCCTTAGTTTAACCTCGTTTTTGTGTAAGCCTGCATGACCCGGTTTGTGGCACAAAACTCGTTAATTCTGTTGTTCTGTTTCTTAGTTTAGGTTATTTTCTGTATAATTTAGTCAGTTTTGTTAATTTACCTGATACATCCCTGTTCATTAAACATTATTTAATTGATCCCATTTTACATCTTGGTTATTTTTTGTTACTTCTCTCACCCAACGAGCTGGAACATAACAGCAACTAAACTGTGGTAAAATGCAAATACACACAGATCTTACTTGAGTAGAAGTAAAACACAGACATGCGCAAGGACTCATGTCTTAATAACTACTGTTAGTTTCAGATAATGAAAGCAACAAGCTGAACATGTGATCAAACTGTTTTTAGAAATACAAAGTGAAAACCGGAACTAGTCCACTTTAAACTGTTTGCAGTGCACTTATTTTGACCCCGAGAGCTGCTGATACAGTATATCTGGACTGGGGCAGGACACATTCTGCTCAACTGCATGTAAAAAACACACAAAAACAGAAAAACATTTAGAAAGTTACACAGTGCTGCTTTAAAATGTAACTAAATAAATATAACACTTCTCCCTCGTGTTACAGGGCGGTCATCATGTCAGTCCTGGATGAGAACCACACCCATGGGCCCGCACAGGACAGCGAGGGCCCTGCGGTGGACAGTGAGGGGCCCCGGGACACTAGGACCCAGCACCCGGAGAACGGCGTGCACCCGGACCCCCAGACCCCCCACTGCCCCTCCCCCGACCCCGACATGAGCTACATCAGCGGGGCCGACTTGTTTGGGTACGTGGGCATCGAGGCCGTCCTGGACCAGATGAGGCGCAAGACCATGAAGGCCGGCTTCGAGTTCAACGTCATGGTGGTGGGTGAGTGTCTTGCACAAGGGCACAGTGGGAGTGTCAGAAAATAGAACGAAACTCTCGACTCTGCAAGTTCTGTGAGTAGGATGAAAGTTTAGTTACAGTTAGAATGTGACACCTTGACTTTTTAATTTTATTTAAACAGGCTGGTGTTCCGTGGAAATGGGCTGACCCGTTGAACTAAGCTCCTGCAGCCTAAATCGACAGTGACATCTATCGATTCAGGATGCCCTGTCAAAATAAGCGACCTTACGTTTTTTGGTTTTTTTTTACGTTTTACAGTTGTATAGATCAGGGGTTCCTTTTGAATCTTGGCCCCTAACTTTTTCTGAACCAAGTAACCTGGGGCCCTGTCTCATATTAAATGCATTATGTTGTACTGATTGTGGGGCCCCCAAGGAGGTGGTCCCAGCCCTACTTTGGGCCCCGGCCCTGTAGTTAAGAATCACTGGTATAGATCCAACAAACCCTGACCCTGACCTCCCCAGTCTGACACAGATTTCTTTGGATTAGAGACGTGAGTTTGATGCTGTTTGCACACAGTGATTATACCTTAGTTATGTCACATTTTAACTCATTTATATGAATGTGCGTGGTTCATTTGATCAGTCGTATTCTGCTCATAATAGGCTTTGACTAAAGGTAACACATTCTGACAAGCCAATTGAGCCATCGATTAATGCTCCCACTGGAGAATCACCTTTATTCACTCATTTAGATGAATTTAGGCTGAGGTAGAAAATCTTGACTATATCTTCTCCCAAATAATCTATCCACTAGAGCAGAGATGTCCAAACATTTTTCATTGAGAGCCACATATCTAAACACAGATGAAGCAGAGGGATGATCGAGGGCCACAGACTGATGCTCAGTACAGTGAAGAACTGAAATATGTGCATTAGAATGAGCCAACACTCTTTATTCATGCTAAGATCATTAAAGCCACACACTAAATATTAAATATTCGCTTTATCAGGGTAGATTTAAAAAAAAAAAAAAAAAAAACTTGCAGTAAAAAGTTAATTTTTAATTGATACAAAGGTAATTTGGGCCAATTCACTTGGAACCCTGAGGGCCAAGAAAAAAATGTCTGAGAGCCACATTTGGCCCATAGTTTGGTTCATAGTTTGGCCCATAGTTTGGCCCATAGTTTGGTTCATAGTTTGGACATGCCTGCACTAGAGGTAACATACTTTACCTCTGTGATACTGGGGACACTGAAAATGGGACAATTCCTGTAATTCAATTTGATTTATTTAGCAATAATAACAATGGACTTGTCTCTTAGTCATGATGGACGAGGACAGAAAAAGGGGCAACTGAAGAAACATTATAACAAACCACAAAGGAGAAATTCAATTTGTCAACTGGACAAACGTTTATTTAGGTCGAAAAAATCTCTCAGCTCATCCAAGCTGCTTCTTCAGTTGTGGCCAGACGCTGGTGGACAGTGCCTTATATCTGCTGAAGGAGGAGCTAACTACACTGAACCTGCTCTGAAGCTAACACCCTACGTGTTTACAGTTTCTGTTTGACTATGTGAGGGGTCATCTTAACGGAATGATTCAGGTTCATAATGAGTGTTTTCACACCTCTGGCCCTGACCTGCTCCCCTGTTGTTCTCTTTGTTTGAGCTCTGACGATGGACTGGTAGATGGAGGCAGATGTTGTAGACGGAGACAGATGTTGTAGACGGAGACAGAGGTTGTAGATGTTGTAGATGGAGACAGAGGTTGTAGATGTTGTAGATGGAGACAGAGGTTGTAGATGTTGTAGATGGAGACAGATGTTGTAGATGTTGTAGATGGAGACAGAGGTTGTAGATGTTGTAGATGGAGACAGATGTTGTAGATGGAGACAGATGTTGTAGATGGAGGCAGATGTTGTAGATGGAGGCAGATGTTGTAGATGGAGACAGATGTTGTAGACGGAGGCAGATGTTGTAGATGGAGGCAGATGTTGTAGATGGAGACAGATGTTGTAGATGGAGACAGATGTTGTAGATGGAGACAGATGTTGTAGATGGGAGATCGATGGTGTCTGTGTCTTAAAGAGGCTATATTTGTCAGGAAACACTCAAACCCTTCCTTGAACAGAAGTGGAAACCTCAAACATGTGAAGGAAAGTTGAGTTCTACACACAAAATCATCTTCTTACTCTGCAGCTCCACAGACCTGACTCTTCTTTGGCCTGGAGGAAGGTCTGCTCCTGCTTGTTTGAATGGAGATGCTCTTCCCTCGACTCTGAGCTTCTATAATCTCTATCTCCACTCACAATATTTGGAAGCTTGTTTTTTAATGTTTGGTTTCCATGGAAGCGTGCAGGCGATGTGTTACCTACTGTAGCTTTAATATCAGTGAATCAGAGTGGAAAAAGAATGCATTTATCTTGTCAGCATGATTGAGAAAGAACACACATACACACAAAAGCTTCAAACAAGAGGCAGGATGGAGCAGGCAATACAACCCACAACTCACATATGCTCCTGACCATTTCTTTATTTCTATCATCAGGGTTCTGTAAGCTCCTATATTACACAAAACCGACTCTTGTGTGTTTTAAGCTGTGTTATAATGTTGTTACCTCCTCAAAAACACACTTGGATGCTGTGTTTTGTTTCATTTACACGTTTTATTAGTCTGTGTACATCTCCAAAGCTCCAAACACTCTGTTCCACCTTGTGATGTCATGTAGAGGTAGTTTTCAAATGACCAGCTCCCTTTACATTTAGTTTTAAAATGATCCACATGATTCTAATGAAGGTGTGTGGAGTATTTCCTGTATCACCACATGACAACGCAAGGCGGAACAGGGTGATTTCTGTTTGAGAGAAGAACTCAGGCTCACTGTGCAGGTTTGTGTGTTACACGTGTGTGAGTGAAACTAAACACAACTCCAGGTGTGTTTGTGATGAGGAAATGACATTAGAACAGAGTACAAAAGTAAGATATAGTCACATACAATAAAGGAATTGCACAAACCCTAAAATGTCTTGTCAAAGTCACCATGCACTCTGGCCCCAAATGGGATAATGCTGGTTTAGTCCTGGTTTTAGTCCTGGTTTAGTCCTGGTTTAGTCCTGGTTCAGTCCTGGTTCAGTCCTGGTTCAGTCCTGGTTTAGTACTGGTTTAGTACTGGTTTAGTCCTGGTTCAGTCCTGGTTCAGTCCTGGTTTTAGTCCTGGTTTAGTCCTGGTTTAGTCCTGGTTCAGTCCTGGTTCAGTCCTGGTTTTAGTCCTGGTTTAGTCCTGGTTTTAGTCCTGGTTTAGTCCTGGTTTAGTCCTGGTTTAGTCCTGGTTCAGTCCTCTTTAAGCCCTGGTTCACAGATAACTGAAGTCTATTAAATGTAGTCTTTTTTTACAGTTTGATTAAAGTACATTGATCCTTCTGAGCACTGTACACGTCTGGTGCAAAACTGTGTGCCCCAAATTATAACAGGAAGTGCCACGTCTTGAGGAGGAAGTGGTTTGGTCTACTTCCTGTTCCAGACACAACAACACACTGATAATGTTGGCTGATAAAACTGGAGGTACAAGTTGAACAACCCTGCAGTTAGAGGGCAAAAACAGCCTTGTACATATTTGGAGTAATTGCATATTTAGTCATATTCAGTCATTTTGACCTTTGACCTGCATGTAGATGCAGTGTTGGGAAGGTGACTTTTAAAATGTATTCCCCTACAGATTACAGATTACACACCCCAGAATGTAGTTTGTAACGTAATCCATTAAATTACTGTGAGTAATGTAATCTGAATACTTTGGATTACTTGATATTGTCATGCTTTTTAAAACTACACGAATGTAGTGACTACATCCTGAAAATTCTTGTTTGTTCTCTTCAAATTGTCTGTTGAGCCCAAGTCTCCATGAATAAACAACTGTTTGCTGTAAAGAAGCAAAGACCAGGAAATCTTCACATAAAATGTTTTGGTCCTGATTTTAGTTCCTAGTTTAGTCCTAGTTTAGTTCTGGTTTAGACCTGGTTTTAGTCTTAGTTTAGACCTGGTTTAGTCCTGGTTTTAGTCCTGGATTTAGTCCTGGTTTTAGTTTTGGTTTAGACCTGGTTTTAGTCCTGGTTTTCGTCCTGGTGTTAGTTCTGGTTTAGAGGTGCACAGGAGAACGGTGGCGTCTGCCCAGTACGGAAGGAGATGTAGGATTTAGCCCAAAATGTGAAAATGTGACAGGAAAATACCACATCTAATCCATTTATTTTAACAAAGTAACTGTAATCCAATTACCACTCACTGAAACAGTAACTGTAACTGAATACAGTTACTCATAATTTGTACTCTGATTATGTAACTCCAGTACATGTAATCTGTTACTCCCCAACACTGTGTAGATGAGACAAAGTGCAGGTCGTTCTTGGTTGTTCTAAATAGGATTCCTAAAAGTATCGAGACTAGATCCTCATTTGAGCAAGTACTGATATTAAATGAACCTTTCCTGTAGGGGTGTGCAAAAATATCGGAATAGTGATATATCGTATCGTTTAATGTGATGATACAGTATCGATATCGTGGGCTACTGTATCGATATTTCACCAAGAGTATTTTTAGGTGTGTTTTACTAAATTATTTTGTTGCAGCTACAGTTTTGTTGCTTGGGGAGTGAAAGGAAACTTATTTATGCGACACATTTGACCTTTTTACTGTTTTGATGATTCAAATGTTTGTGTTTCATATGAACTTTGCACAAGAAGTGGTTTAACAAAGACTTTTAGTATCACAGCCATCATTTAGTCTTTATTTTTATTGAACCGTATCGAATCGATTTGAAATATATCATATCGAATTGAAAGTGCACTGTATCGAGATATGTATCGTATCGTGGCCTGTGTATCGAGGTATGTATCGTATCGGTAACTTCTTAATGATACCCAGCCCTAGTTTCCTGTATGTTTTTAGAATGATGTTGAGTTGGATCAGAACAAGTGTCAGAGCACATAGACTAGTACACACACATGAACCTACTGCACACTGAGGACACACACATATAACACACATGCAGTGTTGGGGAGTAACAGATTACATCTACCAGAGTTATGTAATCAGAGTACAAATTATGAGTAACTGTATTCGGCTACAGTTACTTGGTTGAAATAAATGGATTACATGGTGGTATTTTCCTGTTTTCACGTTTTGGGCTATATCCCCCTTTTTTTTTTTTTTTTGGCAATTCCACTCATTGCCGGACACTAAATGAGGTTTAAAACCAGGTCTAAACCAGGTCTAAACAACATCTAAACCAGGTCTAAAACCAGGTCAAACCAAGACTAAACCACATCTAAACCAGGAATAAACCAAGACTAAACCAGGACTAAAACCAGGTCTAAACCAGGTCCAAACCAGGTCTAAAACAGGTCTAAAACCAGGTCTAAACCAGGTCCAAACCAGGTCTAAAACAGGTCTAAAACCAGGTCTAAACTAGGTCTAAACTAGGTCTAAACTAGGTCTAAACTAGGACTAAACCATGTCTAAAACCAGGTCTAAACAATATCTAAACCAGGACTAAACCAAGACTAAACCAGGACTAAAACCAGGTCTAAACCAGGTCTAAAACCAGGACTTAACCAAGACTAAGCCAGGACTAAACCAAGACTAAACCGCATCTAAACCGCGTCTAAACCAGGTCTAAACCAGGACTAAAGCAGGACTAAAACCAGGTCTAAATCATGTCTCAAACAGGATTGAACAGGACTAAATCATGCTGTGCAGACCATGTCTCCTCCTCTTCTATCAATAATATTTTTTTTAATTTCGTTAAGTAAAGACTGGGCTTTTTATTATTACCTCTGCCAAGGAGGTTATGTTTTTGCCGGCATTTGTCTGTTTGTTTGTTTGTTTGTTTGTTTGTTTGTTTGTCTGTTAGCAACATAACTCAAAAAGTTATGGACCAATTTTGATGAAATTTTCAGGATTTGTTGGAAATGTGAAAAGGAAGAATTTATTTCATTTTGGGGGTGATCTGGAAGAAATCCTGGATTCTGGATCACTTTGAAATTTTAGTTAACATTGTGGTAAATGGGGCCAAAAAATTTTGTTTCTCAATATCTCGGTTAATTATTGACCAAACCCCATGAAATTTGACTCAGGGATGGACAATGGGATCCTCTTTCATATTCCAAAGGCTGATCCGGATCTGATCCAGAAGACTGATTTTATCGCAATTTATATAAAAAATGGGGGTAGTCCTTGGCGGAGGTCTGCGCTCTCTGAGTGCTTTTCTAGTTTTTATTTCTTTTAGCAGACAAAACATCTTATGTGAAGATTTCCTCGCCTTTGCTACTCTACAGCAAACCAAGTAATCCAAAGTATTCAGATTATGTTATTCACTTTAAGTAATTTAATGGATTACGTTACAAACTACATTTTGGGGTATGTAATCTGTAATCTGTAGGGGAATACATTTTAAAAGTAAACCTCCCAACACTGGACACATGGGAATAGAACAGAAAGTTATAATCTATGACACTTATAGATCATTATGTTATCATCTGAACATTTTAAGTCATGTACTTACTTATCTAGAACAACAAAACAACAAAGAAACAAGGAAATAAAATTGGACAACGAAGAAGAACAGAGCAGTGGGTGTGTACCGGAGGAGGTGAAAACGTGGGTAGATCGGCAAAACAGCGTCTTGAATCTTTGTTTTTTGTTTTTTTTTTATTTAAATTTAGATTAGTAGATTAATAACACGCAGGAGTCACTCCAAATACAACTTCAGAGGGTCAATGAGAAGAAAATACTATGGTTAAAAGCTCTGAAAAATCTATTTTGCACAATAGGTCTTGTCTGCTTTAAAGGTTGTATGGAGGATTTTTTTTTTTAGTTTCAAATTGTCAGTGAAAGTTTAAAATACCATTACAGAGATGCAGCAGCCTTGTAATTATGATGACAAAAAAAAAAAAAGAATGAAAACATGTCAACTAGGTCAATAGAAAACGAGGCTCCCTCTTTATCTATTGGCCGTTAGGTTGTCAATCAAACTCCCTAGTGTAAATGACTCGCCTGCGTGCCGGGATTACGTGGTTTATGCAGCAGTTTTTAGAGGCTTTTTCAAACTGTAGCTTCCTCGCAATTTGCACAGAGTTTGTTGCGATGGTGGAGGAGAATCCACGATCAGTTCGCCCCAAAAGAAAGTCGTTTTTTGAGGTCGCTGAAAGAAGAAGAGAAGGGGAAAAGTAGCGAAGACAAACTGAGGTGATTCTTGGAGATTCCTTCCAGCGACTGCGTGACTGAAGCAGACGAAGGGGCTAAAAACAGACGCTAAGACAGGTCACTTCAACAGTAATTCTGAACGTGCACTGACTGTAAACAATCTAGAGTAAAGAGGTGGGAGGAGGTGTTTCTACTGAGGAAGCTGTGGGTGAGGAAGGTGGTGTCACGCATGCACACCATTTGAAAAAGGGGTGTCGCTGTATTTCTCTTCCCTTAAAAAATCCTCTCTGCAACCTCTAATGTTGAAAATCACATTCTATTGTGTCAATAAAGAGTGTATAAAGAGTTGTTTGTTTCATTGTGGTGTCGAAATTGCACTGAGTATGAAGTTCTAGTATAGTGACTACACAAGTTCTTAATTCTAATCCTAAACTCTGTGTGTGTGTGTGTGTGTGCGTGTGTGTGTGTGTGTGTGTGTGCGTGTGTGCGTGTGTGTGTGCAGGTCAGAGCGGTCTCGGGAAGTCCACTCTGGTCAACACTCTGTTTAAATCCAGAGTGAGCAGAAAGTCCTGCTCCAGCCTGCACCACGAGAAGATCCCCAAGACTGTGCGCATCCACGCCGTCAGCCACAGTGAGTACTACAACCCCTCAGTGTGATGTGGTGTCCTTGGGCAGGACACTTCTGCCCCATCGTCTAGTATGGATGTGTTGTGTGTTGGTGGTGGTGAGAGTGGCAGACGGTGCACATTAGCAGCCTTTCTTCTGACAGTCTAGCAGAGAATGTGTCCACTTCACAAACTCATGAGAATCCATCTGGCCAGGGTCCTGCTCTTGGGCCTGGCCAACAGTGCTTCAGACCAGTCACAGGGCAGCATTATGGTGTGGGCAGAGTCAAAGGTGAAGCATCTGAACAAATCAAACCACACACGGTGATTTACATGTGACAAAACATCACTACGTTTATCACTGATTAAGAAAATAAAACTGCAGAAGAAAATGTGTATGTCACTGTGAGCTGAGCTGAAAACAGGGAGATCAGAGAAATACAGAAGAGATTACACTAATGAATCCCTCCAAATACTACTTCAGAGGGTCAATGACAAGAAAGTACAAAGCTCTGAAAAGACCATTTTGCTAAATAAAAGTAGTAAAATTCTCCGTGTGACACTTGTTGACTTGGCGCTGTCTGAGCTCACAGGTGTTCAGGACAGGACAGGACGCTCCAGACTAAATATGACCAGAGGACAAACTCACGCTCTGCATCACACTCTCACGTCCAACAGTCACATTTACGAGATCATAAACTCAAATCCTCCACGTCTGTGACATGTGTGACCTGAGAGATGCTGTGTTTGAGTTTTCAGCAGAACTCTGCCCAAATTTAGACATCAGACTAAACCTGGACCTGACAGACTTTCATCTGACACGTTTACTCAAGCTGTCAGACAGCACTAACACACACACGCACACACGCACACAGACGAGGACACGCACACACACATATCAGCACACACATACATGCTCTCAAAAAGTGTCTGAAAAAGGGAAAGAATGTGTAGGACAGAGGAGAGCTGCTGGTGTGTCCCTCAGCCAGTGGACATGTGTGTGGACATGTGTGTGGACATGTGTGTGGACATGTGTGTGGACACATGTGTGACAGAGGACCAGAGACATGTCCCACCTGTGAGAAGACCAGTCCAGAGAAAAGAGCTGAAAATGCCCCTATGTTTTCGTTCTGGTGGTCCTGGTCAGGTTGTGTGGGTAACGTGCTGTTGTAGTTTTGGCTGTTGTCATTTATTGATTTGGTTTAGAAACCAGGAACTAAACAAGAACCAGTGTTTCCAGTAGATGTTTAGACAGAGGAACCATTTTGTGGCCTGTGGGCTTCATCTGCTGATGGCCTGTTTCATAATAATTATTACAGAGTAGTAACAGAGTCCAGTTTCCTGTACCGTTCAGAGATGTGCTCATGTGCTGGTCTCTTGTGGAGATGATGTGCTGGTACATCAGATCAACAGCTCTGCCTAAAACCCTAACGCTGATCAGAGCCATAAAACCCTGTTCCTAAACGTCATTTCTTTGAATGATCAGTCACACTGACCCTCCTCCACAGCCGGATTCAAATCTGCCACAGTTTCTTGCCGAGTCCTTTCAGATTCTTGAGTTAATGCTGTAGAGCAAACGATGAACCATCTTAAACACTCACATCTAAAACCTTCTGTTTGTGTTAGCCACAGAGGACATCATAGTGGAGCAGAGTAAGGGCTGGAGGAGATTCCTGTGTGCTGACTCAACCTGGGGCCCCTGGTCTGGGGGTCCCTGGTCTGAGGGCCTCTCTGAGCTGTGACTAAGTAAAGTGAAGCTGTCATTATGTGAGAGCAGAGGGTGTTATTAGAGCGAGAGCAGTTGTGGGGGGTGGGGGTGGAGGGGCAGGAGGGAGGGGCTGATGGGAAAGACACTCAGCTGACCCCATGACACACACACCAGGTGTGCTGCACATGCACCGCGCTCTACCTGCTGAGCCACACGTGGATGAAGTGTCATTAGGATTCAAAGGGAGCTGGGCTGATTTCAGACACCCTGCTGTGAACACATTATCTCTTCACCTGGAGGTTGTCGGTGCGATCCTGGCTCCAGTCATATATCAGTCTATATCTGTGTCACTGTGTCGCTGGTACAAACACACACACCTCTGAGTGAGACAGAGACACAATGAACAGATGACAGTATACTTGTGCTGCTTCTACTAATACTACTATTACTACTACAGTGCTTGTAACCCACGTACTGTCCCTGTGCTGTGCAGTGATTGAAGAGAAGGGTGTGAAGATGAAGCTGACCGTGGTGGACACTCCAGGCTTTGGAGACCACATCAACAACAACAACTGGTGAGCACATGTCTGCTGTCTGAGCTATCTGTCAGTGTACAGTGTCGAGAAGTAACTACATACATGTACTAAAAACACTTATTCACAAAACTATCTGGTACAACTGTATTCTGGTACAGTTACTCCTTCAGAATATACTTGCTTTCCTGAAATCAAAGGAATACACGGTGGTACATCATAAATAAATTTAGGCTTCACACTGTATGGGATCAGACACACACAACACTGAGCCCATGTGTGATTTTTCTCAGGGAACATTTGACACAGTATAATTAATATTTTTGACAATCAACCAAGTTAATGTTAAAAAAATTAAATAAAAAATAGCAACTGGCCCCAAAGTCACGAGTAATGTCATGAGTTCCTTTGTCGACATAAAAACAGTGTGTGTCATCTGCATACATGTCTTCTTCAGTCCATGGTGTTGTGTTGCAGCTGGGAGCCCATCGTGGCCTATGTGCAGGAGCAGTATGAGAAGTACCTGAGGGAGGAGCTCAACGTGACGCGCAAACGCCGCATTCCAGACACCAGGGTGCACTGCTGCGTCTACTTCCTGCCCCCCACTGGACACAGGTCGGACCACTCACACGTTTAGCTCATTCACACTAACATAAAGACTTACTTACATTACAATTACATCAAAACTTAAAGGGGCATTGTGTCACTTTCTGTTTCCATGGAGATGTTATTGCATGGCCTAGAATGTTCATTAAGAGACAAGTGTGTGTATAACCAAGTCTAATTACAATCATTAGTTAAAATTATGTGTTTTTCAAGGTATTTTTGAGTTACTATTAAAGAAGACCTATTGTGCTGTGTCATGTCATTTGAACTTTTGAAATCACAATATTCATCTAAAACAACTTAATAAAAGAAACAAGTACATTGACTTCTGCGTTTGAAAACTGCAGTGCCCGATGGAAGCTGACGTCACTGTAAACGTCATGACAACAAAAAGATGCGGCCCCTCCTGTAGAGAGCTGCACATCACAGTGTGTAGGTCACAGTGTGTATGTCGCGGCGTGTACGTCGCGGCGTGTACGTCACAGTGGGGGTGTACCAGTGGAAGTAAAAACAGGGATTAATCAGTAATGTGAGAAAGATGATTGAAACATGCCTGAATCACTCCAAATACAACTTGAGAGGGTCAATGAGAAGGAAACAGCTACAAGAAGGTTACAAAGTCTGAAAAGTGGATTTTGCAGCTTTAAGGTCTTTCTGTTCTGTGGAACATTCCAGTATGGAGAAAAGCAGATAGAAAGTTGCTCATTGCACCTTTAAAGTTGTTTTTTTAAATGTGGTGTGTAAAATAAGACAATAAGAAGTGTTTGTGTTGCAGGTTACGGGCCATAGACGTGGAGTTCATGAAACACTTGGGGAGCATCGTTAGCATCGTGCCGGTCATCGCTAAAGCTGACACTCTAACTCTGGACGAGCGGCTGGACTTTAAGCACAGAGTGAGTCCGTCTGGAGCACTTTGGTCCAATGTTGCTAATGCTAACCTGTCTGTAGCATGTGATCTGGTGCTAACGCTAACCCATGTGCTCTGACACAGATCCGGCAGGACCTAGCGGCTAACGGCATCCAGGTGTACCCCCAGAAAGAGTACGACGAGGACCCCGAGGAGAGCGTCCTCAACAACAGCATCAGGGTGAGCGAGAAGAGCACAGAGCACTGTCTCCATGAGTCCACATGTCTCCATGAGTCCACATGTCTCCATGAGTCCACATGTCTCCATGAGTCCACATGTCTCCATGAGTCCACATGTCTCCATGAGTCCACATGTCTCAATAAGTCCACATGTCTCCATGAGTCCACATGTCTCCATGAGTCCACATGTCTCCATGAGCCCACATGTGTCTCTCCATGAGTCCACATGTCTCCATGTCTCATGTCCACATGTCTCAATAAGTCCACATGTCTCCATGAGTCCACATGTCTCCATGAGTCCACATGTCTCCATGAGTCCACATGTCTCCATGAGTCCACATAGGGTTGCCAACTCCCTGAAAAATAAGTAAGGGACACCTCATTGGCAGGGCTGGTGTACTGTCGATTTGAGCTACCCGTTGTTTTGAGCTACATAGCACTACTGCACATGCGTACACCCCCCAAGTGCTGTTCCATTGTAAATGCCGTCCATTTGATCTTCCTAGGCAAGAAGTGGAGTAACAAGTCACATTTTGAAAAGTGTATTGGTTTTATTGTATGTTTTGACCAGTTAAGTGTGTAAACATGGACATGTATGTGATAGATTTGTGGCAGAATACCTACGTTAGGCTGCAGGTAGCTCATTTTCGACGGGACAGCCCATTTCAACAGAACACTGTAAAGCCCTGTTGGTGGCACTGTCGTCCATGCTGCTTTGTGACAGAGGGAAACCCTTACGGCCTTCAAGGTATTCAGTGAAGGCCCCCAAACAAATATTCAATACATTTTTGTACTACTAATATAATTTTTAATTTTTTAATTCAGTGAGTATTAAACACTACATTAGTCATAATTTCTAGATCACTGTTGTAAACTTGGACTGATATTTCTTGGGAAACAAAGGGTTAATATAACGGAATAGAAATGGACCAATCACAATTTTTTTTCCAATGGTATCTGGGTAAATCAGTGACACCCCCCCCCAAAAAAAGCGCTAGACACCTCTATTTGGACGCCTTGGAGACATCTGAAAGAGGAGTAAGAAAAGACCTGAGAAATGGAGCTTGGAGCCCACGGGAGGGGCGGAGCTCGGATCTTGCGGAGACTCGGAGCACGCGGCCAGGCCGGATCTCGGAGTCCACAGCCGAGCTAGAGCTCAGAGCCAAACAGCCTCGACCAATGAGATGATGAGTGGGATGTGTGTGCTGTTAGCTCATATGTCACAGAGCAGGAGAGGCTGAGAATACCTTTACTGTACATTTTCTTATGAAGTGCATTCCACTGATTACACACTATTTCTGATTCTCATGGTAATACAGGACAAAGTGCATCCCTTTTCAGTTCAATACGGGACGTGTACTTTTGTTTCTGAATACGGGACGATTCTGTTTTTCAAGGGACGATTGGCAGCCCTAAGTCCACATGTCTCAATGAGTCCACATGTCTCCGTGAGTCCACATGTCTCCGTGAGTCCACATGTATGAACTGAGCTCTGTGTTTCGAGATGATTCAAATACAGTCTGAAACATCAGTCATGTCCTGTAACCCAGATCATTACCAGTATCACAGACCAAGTGTAACTGTTAGTTTATTATTGTGTGCATGTGTGTCCCCTGGGATGAAGGAAACATATTGAAATGAAATAGAGCTTTTACTGAGAACAGTTGTAATGCCAACTTAAACCTGCCACACACGTGTAGTGTGTGATCATTGTCCAGTTTAGTGACACTCACTTTTATCTCAGTGAAAAAAATCCCCCCAACCCAGAAAGGATTTTTCCCATAGAGCACAAACTGCATGCATTTGTGTGACAGGACACATACAACTTTCAAAAACTTTGGATTTTGTGCAAATTTTTACCTCATTTATATTCTAAACTTTTTCTCTGTTCAGAATGCTTTGCTTTCTTAAAAACAGCATTGCCCACATGAGAAAAGAGCACTACTGCACATGCTCAATGGGCAGAGCCACCAGAAGTGCCTCACCAGGCCAGATTCATCTAGAGACATGTGATATTCAGCTCGGCCCATTGATTTGACTGGGTTTGGGTCTAACCATAGCCTGTATATATGAATGAACAAAGCTAAAGCGCTAGTGCGCCAGGCGGCTCTTCTGGCTCCTTCTGGCCTTGTGGCTCCTCTCTCTGGACCTGCTGCTGTAAGCCTTGTCATTTTGGTCTTAAATGTTTGTATTAACCCACGACACAGAATCCTGAATTATACATTTCTCTATTTTGTTCCTAAATTAAGATCTGAACATAAATAACGGACCAATCAGACGCCTTCATTCCCCGAGGTCACTCCCGCTAGCATTAGCAACGGGTTTGAGTGCGTTACGTTGCTAAGCCCCCTTCCTGCTCTCCGGTGAGAAGGGCGGGCAAATGTAATGACCTCAATCATGATTGGCTCTTGTGGTTGCTCTGATACCCACGGTCAGATTTCCAACTATGGAGCCTGGCTTCAAATTCCAAGGCTGTGGTGACGTCACGCTCATGTAGAACACTTTTTATACAGTCTGTGGGTCTAACACTTGATTATATACATACTTTATTATCCCAAAGGACATTTGTCTAATTATATTTGTGTGTGTGTGTGTGTGTGTGTGTGTGCATGTGCGTGTGTGCGCGCGTGTGTAGGAGTGTATCCCCTTCGCGGTGGTGGGCACTGACAGAGAGCACCAAGTCAACGGCAACAAGGTCCTGGGACGCAAGACCAAGTGGGGCATCATCGAAGGTACACCCGACTTCCTGCAACTAACACCCACTAACACCCACTAACATCCACTAACACCCACTAACCCCACTAACCTCCACTAACACCACTAACCCACTAACACCCACTAACCTCCACTAACTCCCACTAACACCCACTAACACCACTAACCTCCGCTGGACCTACTGCACCCACAGACACTTAATGACAGCCCAGTGATACACAGTGACTCCAACAGAGGGCGATATTTAGTTTGGGCCAACCTAAATCTGTCTTCTTTTGTTTCGTTTCTTTTATTGGCTCAGTTAGTCCACAGAGGCACTGCACAACTGTCACTACACTGCTCCTGTCTCCAGTTTGTGGTAAAACAAGGCCGTGGTTGAGTTCACACTAAATTCATTTGAGATATTTAGGGGGAAATGAACAAAATCAGCCTGGCATATTAGACCAAAAATATTGTCTGAGTTTATCTTGGAAAAGCCCATCGTCAGTTTCCACTAAACAAAATTAGGGATGAACTTGTACTTGTTTCCATACATTTTATTTCTGTCACATTCAAAACTGTGTCACACTTCCTTAGCCCTGTATGAAAAGATGACAAACTAACTCATGACTTCTGTTTTTCCACAGTTGAAAACGCGGCTCACTGTGAATTCTCCCATCTGAGAGATCTGCTCATCAGGTCAGAACTACAGCGAGTACTAATGAACAACTTATTCTATTATTATTATTACTGCTCCAAGTTATTACTGGACGTGCTACTACATGTGTGGTTGTCACTTTCTCTTCCTCTTTCTCCTCATGTATCAACACTGTGTGTGTGTGTGTGTGTGTGTGTGTGTGTGTGTGTGTGTGTGTGTGTGTGTGTGTGTGTGTGTGTGTGTGTGTGTGTGTGTGTGTGTGTGTGTGTGCGTGCGTGCGTGTGTGCGTGTGTGTGCGTGCGTGTGTGTGTGTGTGTGCGCGTATGTGTGTGTGTGTGTAATGGACCGCTTCTGGTATATGTACTTTTTGTAACTAATATAGTAATTTGATTTATGGTTACCTCTTATTGTTATTGTAAAAGACAACAGCACCACCAGCTGGAAAAATGAATTACTGCAAAAAGATGAGTGACTGGAGAGTTGAATGTGCTAGTGTGTAGACCAGGGGTGCTCACACTTTTTCTTACAAAATGACCAAGTCAAAATGATCTACCTAATACAAAGCCAAGCAAACTGCACTGAAACACTCTGTGCTCCTTTTTTGGACCCTCACCCACAGTTTGAGAACCCCTTCTTTAAGAGAACTTCCTCTGGCACTTTACACAAAACTGTGAAAAAAGTGAAGAAAGATTTTTAAACCTGTTTTTTAAAGTTCCAAACTGGAGTTGCATTCTTTTCTGGTTTTGCAGTGATATTTACCTGGTTTAGTCCTAGTTTAGACCTGGTTTAGTCCTAGTTTAGACCTGGTTTAGTCCTAGTTTAGACCTGGTTTAGTCGTGGTTTAGACCTGGTTTAGTCCTAGTTTAGACCTGGTTTAGCCCTAGTTTAGACCTGGTTTAGCCCTACTATACACTTGGTTTAGTCCTGGTTTCACCCTAGTTTAGACATGGTTTAGCCCTAGTATAGACCTGGTTTAGTCCTAGTTTAGACCTGGTTTAGCCCTAGTTTAGACCTGGTTTAGCCCTAGTTTAGACCTGGTTTAGCCCTACTATACACTTGGTTTAGTCCTGGTTTCACCCTAGTTTAGACATGGTTTAGCCCTAGTATAGACCTGGTTTAGTCCTAGTTTAGACCTGGTTTAGCCCTAGTTTAGACCTGGTTTAGCCCTAGTATACACTTGGTTTAGTCCTGGTTTCACCCTAGTTTAGACATGGTTTAGCCCTAGTATAGACCTGGTTTAGTCCTAGTTTAGACCTGGTTTAGTCGTGGTTTAGACCTGGTTTAGTCCTAGTTTAGACCTGGTTTAGCCCTAGTTTAGACCTGGTTTAGCCCTAGTATAGACTTGGTTTAGTCCTGGTTTCACCCTAGTTTAGACATGGTTTAGCCCTAGTACAGACCTGGTTTAGTCCTAGTTTAGTCCTGCTGTAGTCCTAGTATAGACCTGGTTTAGTCCTAGTTTAGACCTGGTTTAGCCCTAGTATAGACTTGGTTTAGTCCTGGTTTCACCCTAGTTTAGACATGGTTTAGCCCTAGTACAGACCTGGTTTAGTCCTAGTTTAGTCCTGCTGTAGTCCTAGTATAGACCTGGTTTAGTCCTAGTTTAGACCTGGTTTAGCCCTAGTTTAGACCTGGTTTAGCCCTACTATACACTTGGTTTAGTCCTGGTTTCACCCTAGTTTAGACATGGTTTAGCCCTAGTATAGACCTGGTTTAGTCCTAGTTTAGTCCTGCTGTAGTCCTAGTATAGACCTGGTTTAGTCCTAGTTTAGACCTGGTTTAGCCCTAGTTTAGACCTGGTTTAGCCCTACTATACACTTGGTTTAGTCCTGGTTTCACCCTAGTTTAGACATGGTTTAGCCCTAGTATAGACCTGGTTTAGTCCTAGTTTAGACCTGGTTTAGTCATGGTTTAGACCTGGTTTAGTCCTAGTTTAGACCTGGTTTAGTCGTGGTTTAGACCTGGTTTAGTCCTAGTTTAGACCTGGTTTAGTCGTGGTTTAGACCTGGTTTCGTCCTAGTTTAGACCTGGTTTAGCCCTAGTATAGACTTGGTTTAGTCCTGGTTTCACCCTAGTTTAGACATGGTTTAGCCCTAGTATAGACCTGGTTTAGTCCTAGTTTAGACCTGGTTTAGCCCTAGTTTAGACCTGGTTTAGTCCTAGTTTAAACCTGGTGTAGTCCTGTTATAGCCCTCATATTGAGTGATGATGTCATGGATGTCTGTGCTGTGGACAGGTCTCACCTCCAGGACCTGAAGGACGTCACCCATAACATCCTGTATGAGACATACCGTGTGCGGAGACTCAACCAGGCCAACGTGGACTTCAGCGAGCTGGGTCTGCCATCATCCGGGTCCCCCCTGTGCTCCAGCCTCTGCTCCACCCTCTGCTCCGGCATCCAGGACCCAAGTGAGGGGGAGAGCCAGCTGTGACCGCACCCACCTGCACGTGACCCCGCTCACCTGCATGTGACCCCGCACCCTGTGCTCCACCCTCTGCTGCGGGGCTCAAGACCCACGTGAGGGGGAGAGCCAAATGTGACCCCCGCCCATCCAAATATGATCCCGCCCGATGTAATACTACGGACCAAGAAGAACAGAGAACCAGGTGTGATCCTGCCCATCTACATGTTACTCCGCCCCCTGTGGACCTGCCTCGTGAAACTCCGCCCCATAATTCTACAGTCCAATCAGAGCAGAGAGCCAAATTTGAGTGACTTCACCCCATGTGACTCCGCCCCTCACACTACTCAGGGCCAATCAAAGCAGATAAAATCTTTGCTCTGCTCTGGACCAATCACAATCAGGAGAGCGACGCCTGTGACTCCGCGTTCTGTAACTCCTCCCCTGCACCGCTTTGGACCAATCAGAGCAGTGAGAGTCTCTTTTGTCCCCTGTATCTCTCCTGACCAATCAGATGAGAGATGGTCAACAATAGCCCACCCTCTCTGACTCCGCCCCCTGCACGGACCAACCACAGGAGTGATACCTACCTGTGACTCCGCCCCCTGCCATGCTCCAGGCCAATCAGAGCAGAGAGTAAATATTTTGATGATAGATAGAGACTTTGTTATATTCATCCCATATTTTTACAATGGGAGTATAGTTAGTGATTGTTTTGTTTTGTTTTTGTACATTTTACATACTTTTCATAGAGATAATGTTAAAATGTTAATAAAATGTGATAATTAAGACGTTTATGATGCAAAGAACATCAGCAGACTGGATCAACAATACTACTGACCGTTACCGTGACGACAAACCACAATCAGAGCAGTGCTGAGGTCCACAAATGTATCCGCAGTTTTTATGTTCGATCTAATATTAAAGACATGTAGATAATCAAATACACCGTACAGGGTGACCAGTTGGACTCTTTAGTACTGTTTGTAGTACTTTTACTTCAGAAATATAAGATACAGCGTACAATATTTTTTTGTATTTTTAAAGAATAAACCAGAACTATTCAACAATGTAAATATATCTGTCAAAGCTTTTGTCGTACTCACGATTATTAACTTCAAAATTGTACTACAGATTAAAATTACTTAATGGCCCGGTACCTGATTTGTTCCCGTGTGTTTGAGCATATCAGGAAGTGTACATTAGCATGCTAGTTGGTAGTCACTGACCTTTGAGAAAAATGCTTATGTACTCATTGTGCTGAATATTTACGACACTCAGAATGCATAAGGTAAGTGAGGAATAAGTTTGGACCACTTCAAAAATTGGGTACAGCGCCTTCAAGTAAAGTAAAAAAAAGAATGTGATGAAAGTATTGAAATGAGAGAAATTTTATTCAAAACGTTTTCTAAAATAAAAATATGCCCTGTTTACAGATACTTTGACCATGGCGTCAGCTGTGTGGCATTCACTGTCTGTTACTTTGAATAGGAAACTGCAATATTACACTCCCAAAACAAACAATTTCAGTTAGTTAAAACAGTACACTTTTTAACGCCAATTAGCTGTAGATTAATCAACTTGTTTCAAAGTATTTACAGTTGATTTCAGAAAATTAAATATTACAAGTCAGATAATAAGAGTTCATACAGATCAGTTCATACAGAACTGAGTCACATTAAGACAAATTGTGTATATTTATATTTAGAGTGGAGTAACAGCAGTGTTGGGAAGGTGACTTTTAAAATGTATTCCCCTACAGATTACAGATTACATACCCCAAAATGTAGTTTGTAACGTAATCCATTAAATTACTTAAAGTGAGGAACGTAATCTGAATACTTTGGATTACTTGATTTGCTGTTGAGTAGCAAAGGTGAGGATATCGTAACATAAGATGTTTTGTCTGCTAAAAGAAAATGAAAAGCCCAGACTTTACTAAACCATATTAAAAATATTATTGATAGAAGAGGAGGAGACACGTCCATGCAGCATGATTTAGTCCTGTTAAATCCTGTTTTAGTCTTGGTTTAGTACTGGTTTAATCTTGGTTTTAGACCGGTTTTAGACCTGGTTTAGATCCCATTTAGATCTAGTTTAGACCTGCTTTTAGTCCTGTTTTGGTCCTGGTTTAGTCCTGGTTTAGTCCTGGTTTTAGACTGTTTTAGACCTGGTTTTAGTCCTGGTTTTAGACTGTTTTAGACCTGGTTGAGATCTAGTATAGAACTGGTTTAGTTTCCGGCAATGAGTGGAATTACCGGGGGAGAAAAAAAAAAAAAAAAAAGGGATATAGCTCAAAATGTGAAAAAAGGAAAATACCTCTGTGTAATCCATTTATTTCACCAAAGTAACTGTAATCCAATTACCACTCACTGAAACAGTAACTGTAACTGAATACAGTTACTCATAATTTGTACTCTGATTACGTAACTCCGGTACATGTAATCTGTTACTCCCCAACACTGAGTAACAGTGACCACCGGGGGGCGCTGCAGCCTCCATCACACACTGTCCGTGTCTCAGTTCTTTTTCCTCACTTCCTTCTCCTTGATTCCTCTCCTCGATTCTTTGTTTTTCAGCTGTCAATCAAATGTGTCATGTTAAGTGTTGTTCTGAAGAAAACCACAGAATGATAGAGTGAACCTGAGGAGAAAACAATCAGACTTTGTTGGTGTCGGTGAAGAGTTTAGATCCTCTCTCCTCCCTGTGTCTCCGCTGTGGGCGGGACTTCCTCACCCGTTTCCTGCAGAAGGAGAAGGAAGTGAGGAAAGAGAAATGAGACGCGGCCACAGACTGAAATATCTGGACACCTGCTGCTCTGGGACGGAGCATGTGTCAACAGGCAACGCTTGTAAATCACTTTTATAATTACAAAGGCAGATTAAATACACTCATTATTATTATTATTATTATTATTATTATTATTATTATTATTAGAGATTCATGTTTTTGTGCTTTGGGCCAGTGGTCAAATTCAAATGACAATAATTTGGCTTTACAAATGAAAAGAGCCTGAATAGAAAAAAGTGTATCTTTTCTCCCTCGGCTTGGTACTCCTCTCCTCTGACTATACTCCAGTTTCCTTCAGCTGATACTTCCCTCTGTGGGCTGGTACTCCTCTTGTCCAACTGGTACTTCTCTCATCTGGCTGGTACTCCTCCCCTCCTCCAGGTGGTACCCCCTCCTCCAGGTGGTACTCCTCACCTCCAGCTGGTGACCCCTCCTCAGGCTGGCACTCATCTCCTCCTCAGCGTGGTACTCCCCTCCTCCAGCTGGTGCTCCTCTCCTCCTCCAGCTGGTACTCCTCTCCTCCAGCTGGTACTCCTGTCCTCAGACGGGTCCAGGCTCAGGTGTGGAGATGGGCCCCTGGGCTCCTGACAGGTGGCCCCAAAGACATCACAGGATGGGTCAAATGCAGAGGACACATTTCCTAACAAGTGCAATGTGGTGGAAAATTGAAGACTTCTAATTTGTTGCTGATTTGTAAAAAGAAAGCTTGAAATGAGGTGGCAGTTAATCTGAAGTCTGAGGTTCAATCAGCACTACTGCTATTACATATGTTGTGTCCTTGGGCAAGACACTTCACTCCCTTGCATCTAATTAAACCAATTTGACGTGTGTAGTGTGTGTGAAGGTTTTGCATCAGTAATACACAAACTTTATGCCTCAAATTCAAAACATCTCAGACAATTTCAGGCTTTGTGAAGACCATTTTTGTCTAAACAAGTTTAAAAGGTTTTAACAAAGACTAAATCTAGACCAAACTACAACTCTAGAGACTAGAGACTGTGTTCTTAACCGGCTTTATACCATGTGCTTTAGAACCATGCGCCCATTCCTACATGCAAATAATTATAATGCAGAGTCATTTGGGCGGCAGCTAATAATTTTAGGGGTTTTTTTTAGATTTGACAACTTTTTTGTACATTGACCATTCTCTAACACATTTTAACCCAGTAAAGGCTGAAAAATGGAGTCTGAAAGCTTCTAATTAAGAATATTTATGAATAAAGCTGAATATTGTAAGAATAAATAAACTAAACCTGGACTGGATCACCAATAAAATGAGCTACATTTAGGACCAAATGACAGCAGGTGTGAGCTCTCCTCTAGAGTCTGGACAGTCCAGATAACAGGAACCCAATCAAAGTGGGATTTCAATATTGCAATAGTAGACGAGTCACAATTATTCTGATAAATAATTGCAGCTCTATTGGTCAGTAGAATTCCAGAGACCAGAGACAAGACCAGACCAGAGACTAGACCAGACCGGAGATTAGAGACCAGACCAGAGACTAGAGCAGAGAGTAGGACCAGAGAGCAAAAACCACAGAGAGATGAGTGTCCCAGTAGAGTGTTTATTGGCTGCATGTAAAATTGTGCTGTACAGGGCTGTCACACACTGGAGCCTCACACACATATGTGCCTCAGACACATGTGAGCCTGACACATATGTGAGCCTCACACACATATGAGCCTCACACACACATATGAGCCTCACACACATATGAGCCTCAGATACATGTGAGCCTCACACACATATGAGCCTCACACACATATGTGCCTCAGCACACATGTGAGCCTGACACATATGTGAGCCTCACACACATATGAGCCTCAGATACATGTGAGCCTCACACACATATGTGCCTCAGACACATATGAGCCTCAGACACATATGAGCCTCACAACACATATGAGCCTCACACACATGTGAGCCTCACACACATGTGAGCCTCAGACACATATGAGCCTCAGACACATGTGAGCCTCAGACACATGTGAGCCTCACACACATGTGAGCCTCACACACATGTGAGCCTCAGACACATATGTGAGCCTCAGACACATATGAGCCTCACACACATATGAGCCTCACATACATGTGAACCTCACACACATGTGAGTGAGATCTGACACGGTGTAAACACATGAGTGGGACCTGTGGAGTCTGGGAGCACACAGTCTGACCCACAGACTGGATGTAGAAGTGGACTAAGGGAGTGTGGAATCATCATGTTTGACTTCAGTCTGAGGAAGTCAAGGCTGAGCAGTTCCAGCCGTCATGGGACCAGGAGCCGTTGGGCAAAGACACTCACTTCATATGTGCAGCTCGGTGGCTAGTGGACTAGCGAGTTAGATATATCCAGTCATATACTGAGTCTACAGCTGACCACACCACACAGTCTGGTTTTGGGTGACTCTGCCAGGCTCGCCCTTACACCTGCCATGTACCTGATTCACATTTGGCTCTTTCGATCCAAGCTCCTCACACAGAAACTTTCAGACTGAACATGATGTCAGGATTCAGATCACTTGCTAACAGCTACTGTTTTTAGTCTCAAGTAGAGAAGCCAGGAGCTTCAGTCGTGCCGCTTCACTGCTGCCTGAACAGAGACTAACGTCTTTAAGTCTCCAGTAATCACAACGGAGGAAAGGAGGTAGGAAAGGATATGAGGAACTAGGAGAGGTGATGAGGATAAAGGGAAGGAGATAAAAAAAAGAAGACAGAGGAAAGGAGGGCAGAGGGAAGGAGGCAGGAGAGGAGGCTGTATATATTTGTGCTGCGGCCCAGACTGTGTGTTCTGGAAGCTTCCACAGATCCACTGGTTCAGTACACAACATGGCCCTTATGGATTTGTACAAAATGTAAACATTCTTTGCCGTGATTTGGCCCCCATGAAGGGCCCCAGATCTCATGACCCCACTGTGAGGGCCCCAGATCTCATGGCCACACTGTGAGGGCCCCAGATCTCATGGCCACACTGTGAGGGCCCCAGATCTCATGGCCACACTGTGAGGGCCCCAGATCTCACCACACTGTGAGGCCCATCTCATGCCCCAGATCTCATGGCCATGGTGAGGGCCCCAGATGTGATCTCATGGCCACATGGTGAGGGCCCAGATCATGGCCACACTGTGAGGGCCCTCATGACACTGTGAGGGCCCCAGATCTCATGGCCACACTGTGAGGGCCCCATATCTCATGACCACACTGTGAGGGCCCCAGATCTCATGACCACACTGTGAGGGCCCCAGATCACATGGCCCCACTGTGAGGGCCCCTGACAGCAGTCTGAAGCCCCTGATAACATTAGCACTAGATCACATGACATACTGTCTTAGGGCCCGAGACCGAACAGTGAAGGCCCCAGATCACATGTCTGCAGTCTAAGGGCCCCAGATCACATGACCACAGCCTGAGGGCCCCAGATCACATGACCACAGCCTGAGGGCCCCAGATCACATGACTACAGTCTGAGGGCCCCAGAAACAGACATCAGTAGACGTTCAAAGCTGGAGCTAGAAAAATGAAAGCACTTTAGTCAGATGATGAAGCAATCGCTGCATTTTAGAAATTGAAAACGATCTAAAAATTAAATGTAGTAGTTTTGGAGGTTGTGATATCAAAACCTGGTGTGAATATATTCTTAAACATATTCAACTTTAGCTGCTTTTTGATAATAGTTAGCATGTACCATTAGCATCTGTGCCAAAATCTAAACAACTTACTTGAAAGTGTGTATGGGGGAAAAGCAAACTAGATGTATTTAGACGTTTATACTGAGACGTGAAAATACTCCAAATAGTTATAAAAAACAACATATTTCACTGGCCTCAGCCTTAATCTTATTGGTTTAAAATGCTAACAACTATGCTAACACAGTTGCTTGGAGGAAACTGTCAGCAACAATGCTCCGTCGACTGATGTCTATGGCCCCAGATCACATGAGCACAGCCTGAGGGGCCCCTGATCACATGACCGTGAGGGGCCCCCGAAGCTGAGTGGTGTATGAGCAGAGAAGGAGAACACATATGACACAAACTGCACATGGCTCGGTGTTAGCATGTTACACGTGTTAGCATGTCACACCGCGTGGAACTGTCGCAGTCCTCTTTTGGCTCTGAAAAAATAAAAATGACTGCTTTTCAGGGCCCCAACATTCGCCGCACAACCCCATCTCCTCAATAAATACACATTATTTAAATAAGACACAACTCAATGTCAATAAATAACTTAAATAAATAGAGGTATGTACAATGAAGAAAATGAACAGCGCCCCCTGGAGGGCTAAACCATGCACAGTCCGCCGCGGCTCCTGAGAGCCCACGCTGCTGTTTGGCACTGACTAATACTGGCCTGGTCACATGACTCAGCCAGAGAGGGCCGGGGCAGTGTGTGGATGTCACGTGCACATTTACACTAGAGCTCAAGTCACTCTCCACAACAAACATCTGTCTGCATCAGAAAAGTGTTCCATTCCACAGGAGAATATCACATCATCAAACTGTATGTTCTTGTAAAAAACATTCAAACTACATGACAAAGTGAAATTCCTCTAATCTCGTAATTCCATGATAAACGTAAAAGTTAAAGTAGAGACTTCCTGGGATCCAGAACACACTCATTCAATAGAGGCTTTGCACCGTCACGTGTCCCCATGGCAACGGTACCTACACCACCATGACACCGGGCACGATATCCCATTGACTTCAGCAGCATCCGAGAAACATGGGCAGGTTTTGTTGGGGATTTGGTTGTTCTAGACGCTCTGAAAGGGATAAAATGAATCGTTTCTTCACTGTTCCTCTGGAAATGACTCATCAGAAGCTCAAACAAGTGAATTATCAAAAAAAATACGCGGATTATAGCTAGCAAAAATAAACCACGAAGAGATTTCCTATGGTACCATCAAGACACACTCACGTCACTTTCATCAAGGTATTTGCTATTTAAATTCTTTCATAGCTTATTTAATGAAAGAAGCACATTTACTGAACTGAAATTTCATTAATTTATCCAGGAAAACCTGCACTAGTTTACGATTCAATGAACCCACACTGGGCTCCTCTGATCAACATGAAGCACGAGTCAAAGAGCTCTATGAGCCAAAACTCGAAAGAATCGGCCATGAAAAGATCCTCGCGAATGTTAGAAAGATCCACTCACAAAAAGTGATTCATTCTAGAAGACATAGTTGTGGATAAACAAGGCAATAAAGAAAACATGGTCCTACGACGAGTGACATGTTTATATGTGCACTGGAAGATACAGTTTCTACTGCCACTCACACTGCAAATGTTTTCTTTTTACATTTTAGTTCAGTAAATGTGCTTCTCTCATTAAATAAGCTGTGAAACAATTTAAATAGCAAATAGCTTGATGAAAGTGACGTGTGTCTTGATGGTACCATAGGAAATCTCTTTGTGGTTTATGTTCTCTAGCCATAATTCCCATTTTTTTCTGATAATTCTTTGTTTGAGCTCCTGATGAGTAATTTCCAGAGGAACAGTGAAGAAACGATTCGTTTTATCCCGTTCAGAGCATCTAGAACAACCAAATACACAACAAAACCTGCTCATGTTTCTCCGATGCTGCTGAAGTCAATGACATAGTGTGCCTGGTGTCATGGCGGCATAGGTACCGTTGCTATAGGGGTCGCGTGACGGTGCAAAGCCTCTATACGAAGATGTGAGTCTAGTCTCCAGTCAGTCTCCCCAGATAGGTGTGACTGACACGAGGATGAGCCAATCAGAGACACACGTCAGTCTGTATCAAAACAAATCTGGCTGCTTATGAGGTATGTTCAACTGTTCATGTGAGAGACGAGTACTTTTGTTTGTAAATGATGGTGACCAATGAGCTTCTTCTTCACTGAAATAAACAAATCTGATTGGACGGTGGTGTTTGATTTTGGCTGAAGATTTGACGGAGGGAAAAGAGAACAGACTGATATCCCTCTGTATAAAACATACAGACAGATATGACTCTGGACTGGAAAAAATGTAAAGAGTCGCACTTTTGTGGTTAAGTTCAGTGGTGGATACGGTGATTTTAGCCCGGCCCTGATGCGATGTTAAAATCTAACTTTTTTTTTCCCTTTTTCAGATAATGCAAAAAATATTGAGATTCATTTTTGTCAATATCAGTCACACCATGTACTGTATAACATGTAAAAATGTCATATCTTGTTCAAATCTATTCAAGTTATTTTGTAAAAACATCTGCATCTGTTTCTGGACCAGATGTCCAAGTGAAAAAACTTGAAATAAAGGCCTGTAAATAGCCTCTATACCCTTGTGTTCCCTTTATCGACTATAACCAATCCTCAGACATCCACAGACTGCCGGGCCCTCCCTGAGCGCCCATCACAAACCAACAACAGGAACCAAAAATTGAAAAAATCTAAACCGAAAGGCGATAGCGTCCACATTTCCGTCATTCAAAAAAAAAATGAAAGTCCGACCTGTCCGAAATCATGAATATTAATAATAAATAAGTCACAGACACATTCCTGGCAAACATCGTAAGTCGCAACTCAAAAACGGTGTATCAAAAAGCAGAGCCAATACTGAAGGAGCTGTAAACATGATCTCCCCACATCCTTCTGAGCACGGAGACAAGACTGGAGATGTCCCCGATGTCCAAATGTCCCCAGATGTCCCCGATGATGAGTCCACGGCGTACACGAGAAGCGCAGCGGCGTACTTACAGCGAGTGTTAGTAGTCTTAGATTCTGTACACGTGTGGATGGCCTCTCCTCTAGTCTTTTTGGCTGTACACGTCCTCCTCCGGTCTCTACAAGCCTACAAACTGTCCCCGTTTGTTGTGGCTCCGGGACAAGACGTCGTGGAGCTCCTGACCCCCAGCGGAGGGGCAGTTGGGTTTGGGGCCCCCGGGTTCCTGCTGGTCCTGCTGGGTGTGGGATGGCGCGAGGAGGAAGACAGAGGCGGGTGAGGGGGTGGGGGGTACAGCGGGGCTACTCGATGACCATGCAGTGGGGCAGGTGTTGGGAGTAGTACTTGAAGAGCTCGGCCGTGGCTCCGGGGCAGTTGGTCAGCTCCAGCTCTTCCAGGTCCTGTAGCTGGATGAGTCCGGACAGGCCCGTGGTGGTCAGAAGGGGGCAGCCTAACAGAGACACATGCATATCATCATTCTTACATTTCTTAAACTGAAAGTGAAGGTGGCAGTGTTGGAATTTTTGCCTACCAACCAGAGTTTGAAAGTCCTTTTGACAACCATCACATTACATGATAGAACATTCAATAATAGGTTAAAGAAGACCTGTTGAGCTTGTGTCTGCTCATTATGTTATAATTTGGACATTTTAAATCACAATATTAATCTACAATGACAAGTGGGCTGACTTCTGCATTAGAAAATTGCAGTGCCCAATGGGAGCTGACCTCACCATAAACATCATCAAAACAAAGAGCTGTGAAGTTGTCCTCAACTCTTGTGGACAGCTTCAGTTCACAGTAGCGAGCTGCCAAACTGAATACATGACACTGGCGCATCCTACACGAATCACAGATTAAGAAAATAAAACTGGAGAACGAAGTGCTTATGTCACAGTGGGTGTGAACTGATGGAGGAGTTGATCGAAAATGTGGCATCTTGAAAGTAAGAGATTAAAGATTACGCAAACAAATTACTCCAAACACAACTTGGTTGAGTGAGTAAATGGTGAGGGGAAACAACTAGTACATGGTTCAAAGCTTTGGAGTGATGATTTTGCGGGTGCTGCTTATGATGTCACAGCTGTCACAGATGTCTGTGCATAGCTCAAGGTTATCTTCAGTAAAACATTTTCTTTCAAAAGCTGGTAATTCAATTCAGTCATTGGAGTTGTTGACATATTCACATCAACTTAAACATGAGCACTGCTGAAACGTACTCTTCTATGATTATCTCTCATGTGGACTACTGCTGCTGGTCACTTGCTCCTCCACACTTTGGACACTACTGAAAATCTTAAAAAGGGTTAAAAAAACACCATTCCTGTAGTGGGCGCACATGCCCTGTCTGACTCGTGGTTAATGTTTTTAGCAGGTTGCATCAAACTACTCTTTGGGGGGGTTAAGTTGGCTGTAATATTGTTACAGTGACAAATAAATGCATGGACTATCCAAGGAAATACTGTCTCATCTCTGCTATCCTGCACCACGCTGAGCAATGAACGGCTTTAACTCAGAAGTCCCGTCTTTGTTCAGCCCTGGAGCTGCCCGGAGGCTCCTCTTTGTCCTCCTCAACCAGGAGCCACAGCCTTAACAAGAGTTATGTTCTGAAATATCACGACTATTGGACGTAAACAGGATAATTCACATTTAAAGAGCTTGTCTGAACTGGTCATGTGCAATAATGTGCAGTGTGCAATAATCCAGTGTGTTTACATTCATGTTGTATCAGGCTTGTTCATTAACATGTATCATCTCAATCAAATCAATAAGTGAATGAATCAAATGTGTGTAAAATCAGAGACTAGTGATAAAAAACTGCATAAAGAAAAAACAATGTGAACAGATAAGTGCAGGTGCGTACCTGCCAGTGACAGCAGGCGCAGACTCCTCATCCCAAACAGGTGCTGCAGCCCAAAGTCCTGTACCTGGACAAAAGCACCAAGAGACACTCAGGACACTTACTCTTGACTCTATCATTTCACATCTGACGTCTGCTGGTGACACTAAGTGTAATAAACACAACTTTAAACGAAAACTAACATTTGTCAGGATGGACAATGTGAAACATGACATGAGACACACACAGAGACAGACAGAGGGGCCCTGCTCTTACACACACACACAGAGGGGCCCTGCTCTTACACACACACAGAGGGGCCCTGCTCTTACACACACACAGAGGGGCCCTGCTCTTACACATACACACAGAGGGGCCCTGCTCTTACACATACACAGAGGGGCCCTGCTCTTACACATACAGAGACACACAGAGGGGCCCTGCTCTTACACATACACAGAGGGGCCCTGCTCTTACACATACACAGAGGGGCCCTGCTCTTACACATACACAGAGGGGCCCTGCTCTTACACATACAGAGACACAGACAAAGGGGCCCTGCTCTTACACATACAGAGACAGACAGAGGGGCCCTGCTCTTACACATACAGAGACACACAGAGGGGCCCTGCTCTTACACACACACACAGAGGGGCCCTGCTCTTACACACACAGAGACAGACAGAGGGGCCCTGCTCTTACACATACAGAGAAGGGCCCTGTTCTTACACATACAGAGACAGACAGAGGGGCCCTGCTCTTACACACACACACAGAGGGGCCCTGCTCTTACACATACACAGAGGGGCCCTGCTCTTACGCATACACAGAGGGGCCCTGCTCTTACACATACACAGAGGGGCCCTGCTCTTACACATACAGAGACACACAGAGGGGCCCTGCTCTTACACACACAGAGACAGACAGAGGGGCCCTGCTCTTACACATACACAGAGGGGCCCTGCTCTTACACATACAGAGACACACAGAGGGGCCCTGCTCTTACACATACACAGAGGGGCCCTGCTCTTACACATACAGAGACACACAGAGGGGCCCTGCTCTTACACACACAGAGACAGACAGAGGGGCCCTGCTCTTACACATACACAGAGGGGCCCTGCTCTTACACATACAGAGACACACAGAGGGGCCCTGCTCTTACACACACAGAGACAGACAGAGGGGCCCTGCTCTTACACACACAGAGACAGACAGAGGGGCCCTGCTCTTACACACACAGACAGACAGAGGGGCCCTGCTCTTACACATACAGAGACAGACAGAGGGGCCCTGCTCTTACACATACACAGAGGGGCCCTGCTCTTACACACACACACAGAGGGGCCCTGCTCTTACACACACACAGAGGGGCCCTGCTCTTACACACACAGAGAGGCAGAGAGGGGCCCTGCTCTTACACACACACAGAGGGGCCCTGCTCTTACACACACACAGAGGGGCCCTGCTCTTACACACACACAGAGGGGCCCTGCTCTTACACATACACAGAGGGGCCCTGCTCTTACACACACACAGAGGGGCCCTGCTCTTACACATACAGAGACACACAGAGGGGCCCTGCTCTTACACATACACAGAGGGGCCCTGCTCTTACACATACAGAGACACACAGAGGGGCCCTGCTCTTACACACACAGAGACAGACAGAGGGGCCCTGCTCTTACACATACACAGAGGGGCCCTGCTCTTACACATACAGAGACACACAGAGGGGCCCTGCTCTTACACACACAGAGACAGACAGAGGGGCCCTGCTCTTACACACACAGAGACAGACAGAGGGGCCCTGCTCTTACACATACAGAGACAGACAGAGGGGCCCTGCTCTTACACATACACAGAGGGGCCCTGCTCTTACACACACACAGAGGGGCCCTGCTCTTACACACACACAGAGGGGCCCTGCTCTTACACACACAGAGAGGGGCCCTGCTCTTACACACACACAGAGGGGCCCTGCTCTTACACACACACAGAGGGGCCCTGCTCTTACACACACACAGAGGGGCCCTGCTCTTACACATACACAGAGGGGCCCTGCTCTTACACATACAGAGACACAGAGACAGAGAAAGTACCTGGCAGCACCAGCGCAGGTAGAGGCTGCGCAGGGACGACATGGTGGACAGGTACCCCAGGCCCGTGTCTGTGATACGCACACACCTGGAACACAAGCACAAGAAAGGTTAGGGTCAGGAGAGTGGGTCAGGGTCAGAAGAGTGAGATTAGGGTCAGGAGAGTGGGGGTTAGGGTCAGGAGAGTGGGGTTAATCAAATCAAATCAAACTTTATTTATAAAGCACTTTTCATACAAAATGCAACACAAAGTGCTTTACAGTGATTAAAAACAGTCCCGCATTTCCAACCACCCAACCACCCACCCACCAACCCAACCCCCGCACCCCCAACCCCACATAGTCAAACAACCCAAACACACACACTCACATACACACAAACATGCACACACACACACACACACTCACACTCACACGCTAAAATACATAACCGGACACAATAAAATGTGAGGCTGAATACAGGCGAACCAGTTGAGAAGGTTAGGGTCAGAAGAGTGAGGTTAGGGTCAGGAGAGTGGGGTTAGGGTCAGGAGAGTGGGGTTAGGGTCAGAAGAGTGAGGTTAGGGTCAGGAGAGTGGGGTTAGGGTCAGGAGAGTGGGGTTAGGGTCAGGAGAGAGTGGGGGTTAGGGTCAGGAGAGTGGGGGTCAGGGTCAGGAGAGTGGGGGTAAGGTCAGAAAGTGAGGTTAGGGTCAGCAGAGTGGGGTTAGGGTCAGGAGAGGTCGGTCGGGGGGGTTAGGGTCGGTCGGGGGGGGGTTAGGGTCAGTCGGGGGGGGTTAGGGTCAGTCGGGGGGGTTAGGGTCAGTCGAGGGGGCTATGGTTGGTCAGGGAGGTTATGGTCGGTCGGGGGGATTAGTGTCAGTCGGTTTGGGGGGGCTTAGGATGAGTCGGGGGAGTTAGGGTCGGTCGGGGGGGTTATGGTCGGGTGGGGGGGGTTAGGGTCAGTCAGGGGGGTTAGGGTCAGTCAGGGGGGATAGGGTCAGTCGGGAGGGTTAGGGTTAGATCTTAGTCTTGAGTGTAATATAAGGATGCTGCTTTTCCTACTTCGTGATACAATGTAAAGTTTAATGTAACTCAAAGAAAATGGTGACATCGTGTTTTTGGCATATGACCACAGGGGGCACTCCGGCCCACACCATACACAAGTCCTGTCATGTGACCTGAACAACAATGGCTTAAACATGTGGTGATAATGACATGTCCGGGGTTCACACATTTCCCATTAGCATGTCTGCTGATGGGAAACAAAGGGCAGCCCCAAAACCATCAACAGGACATGTGCACATGGTGAATGGGCACAGTCTTATATAGAGCGCTTCCACCTTTTTTACATCAAGTATTCACCCATTCACATACATACACGCACACACACGCACGTACACTCACACACACACACACACACACACACACAGCAGAAATGTAACCCAAGACACACACAATGACGGTGGGTCAAGGTGGTCCTGTTGTCATGCTGTTAGTCATATACAGAGGACAAACGTTACCATGGAAACCCCAGTACACAAGAGTAGAGTGTGTGTTCTGACCGGTCAAGCACCAGCTCCTCCAGCTTGTGCAGGTCACAGGCGATGTACTCCAGGGCCATGTCGGTGATGCGCGGGCACCAGGACAGGTCCAGGCTGCGCAGCTTCCTCAGGTTTTCTGCCACCAGCTCCACCCCGTCGTCTGTGATCTTGGAGCAGCCTGACAGGCTCAGGGCGGTCAGGTTAGGCAGACTGTGCACCATGTTCACCACCCCATGGTTAGTGATCTCCCAGCACGAGTGCAGGCGCAGGGTGTGGGTGGTGTAGCCCTGAGGGGCACAGACAAAACTAGGGCTGAGAAGACACTCATATAATGTCCATGTTATCTACTAGTGCTCATCTCTGACAGCACACATATACAATAATCACTATTTGGACTTATTGCTCAATAAATGAGAGATAGAACTAGTGATTATAGGGCTCAGTCTTCATATTATTATTACTTAGATTTCAGCTGTAGAGGGCTAATTATTGGTTCATTCTGTTCTAATAATTACACTTGTAATGTGCTTTACGGGCTGTGGAAGCCCCTCAAAGTGCTGCACTGTGTCATTCTTCACTCCACTCTGTGGTGGTAAAATACTATTGTAGCCACAGTTGCCCTGGAGCAGAGTGGCTGAAGCAAGGCTGCCAATCTGTTCCGTACAACCACCAATCACTCATGTACACACCACTTTCATACTAGGCAATGTGAGTGAGGTGTCTTGTAGAAGAACACGACAGAACAGAATCAGTCCTTCGATCTTCGGGCTGGGGGATCACTACTCTAACCACTGAGCCACTGCCTCACCCATTTTGTTACAGCTCAGGCCTTTTACTGATGCAGTCTGAAACGTTTCCTGTGATTCTTCTGCTTCACATGTTTGTATCAGAGGCATCTGAACATATATTGTGAGCAATGCAATGATGCTTCAAAAGGACAGCCTACTGTGACTTTAATATTGTGTCTTTGCTTAAGACTAAAACTGTGCAGAGAGAGATTTGTGGTAACAATCCTGAAAGAACAGTGCACCTTTATAACAGACGGACTGGACCTCTGAGTCCTGGACTGTTGGGAGAGAAATGTACACACATACAGTGTCCTGTCCCGGAATGACTCTCGCTCACTCACAAATCTTACTGAATATTTGACTATGATCTATCAGCTGTTACTGTGTGTGTGTGCATGTGTGTGTGTCTTCTCACCTGCTTGGCGGTGAAGTAGGCCATGGCGGTGTCAGTCACATGGTAGGCCTGCAGGCTGAGCTCGGACAGGTTGGGCAAGAGCTGCGAGATGGCGGCGATGGCGTCATCGGCTACGTTGATGCAGTCGCTGACGCTGAGGGAGGTGAGGCGGGCGTTCAGACTGGACCACAGCCCCGCCTCCGTGAAGTCATTACAACCAGACAGCTCCAGGTGCATGAGGCCCTGCATCTGCTCCAACATCACCTGTCGCAGAAGAACGTAGTGTGACTGGTGCCTCTGTGTGCAGTGGCTGAGGATGAAGAGCGTAGTGTGACTGGTGCCTCTGTGTGCAGTGGCTGAGGATGAGGATAGTCACATGTGTCATAGACTTGAACAGTGAGGAGAGCACAGCTCCTCTCTCAGGACTCCCCTCAGAGCTCCTACAGCCAACCTGAGGATCTGGACCTGAGAGGAGCAGAGGAAGCACATGCAGCCATCCCAGCCATCACCATGGCAACCAGCCCCTCGTCCCAGAATAGCAGCCAAAGCATGGAAGAGAGTGAGTGTATCAGAGCACAGCAGAGCACTGCACAACACAACCATCCCCACCTGTATATTTACACAACCCCATGTCCACATGAGCTACTACTACACTGTACACATGACTGTGATTCAGATGGTACACACAGGTGTCATATAAGCTTCATCTATAGACAGCATCCTGTTATGAAGTGGCGGTCAGGACTCACCTCCAGCCCTGCGTCTGTGATAGTGGACCTCTTGAGGCTCAGGGACCTCACTCCCTTCTTGGACAGGGGGTAGTTGTCTATGAACTCACAAATGTCCAGGTCTGACACCCCCACCAGACAGAAGGACTGGAAGCCCCGCAGGGCGAAGGCCTGCAGGCTCACAAACTCCTTCTCCCCGTTGGGCAACAGCATGTACAGCTCCTTGGCGTGCAGGATGGGCGTCACCCCCTCCCAGAACTTGGGCTGGTACAGGACTTTACGCCATGTCTTACAGACCTGCGCTAGGACGCACTTCTCAGCCGTGGTGAAGTACCAGAGCAGTCGGTTGAGCAGCTTCTCATCCAGCACCAGCTGTCGCTCCAGCAGCACGGGCTTGGGCAGGCTGAGAGGGGCCAGCCCCCGCAGGGAGGACTTCAGCCCCAGAGGCTTCCCCGAGTCCAGCTCGTTGGTCAGGAGGGAGGAGGTGGTGTCCAGGTGGTGATGGTGGTGGTAGTGCAGGGAGGTGGAGGGTGGGGGCAGGATGGCGGGCACAGATGAGGACTGGCACAGGCGGTTCTTGGCGGCAGGAGTGCCCTTGGTGATGCTGGCACTGCCCAGGCCGTTGGGCTGGGTAGGGGGTAACTTCACCAGACCATTGCGAGTCACGCAGGTCGACTTGAGCTCGCTGGGGCTGGACATGTTCAACACTGGACCTGCAGGTCACACAAGCAGTTTACAAGCATGTTAGGAACAGTAACATCCTAGTATAAATACACATGCTAGTACTGGTATAAATATACATACTAGTACAAGTATACATACTAGTATAAATATATACATACTAGTACAAGTATACATACTAGTATAAATATACATACTAGTATGAGTATACATACTAGTATAAATATACATACTAGTATGAGTATACATACTAGTATAAATATACATACTAGTACAAGTATACATACTAGAATAAATATACATGCTAGTACAAGTATACATACTAGAATAAATATACATGCTAGTACAAGTATACATACTAGAATAAATATACATACTAGTATAACTATACATCCCAGTATAAGTATACTAGTACTGTGTGTGTAAGAGTATACTAGTATACGTATACATTCATGCACACACACACACACACACACAGGTACTCTGGAGACATGTCAGAAGTTTATTTTTCATTGACTACTGTAGATGTGAGTCACAGACACAGTCTGAGAGGATCAGTGCTGTGTTTTCTAGGCAGCTGGTACTGTAGTACTGTAGTAGTGTAGTAGTGTAGTAGTGTAGTAGTGTAGTAGTGTAGTAGTGTAGTAGTGTAGTAGTGTAGTAGTGTAGTACTGTAGTACTGTAGTAGTGTAGTATTGTGGCTCTCAGGACACTGGCCCTGGCCCTTCTGTCTGTGTGAGCAGGTGTGGGGCCCCTGAGGAGAGCCATGTGCTCTGTATATGAGACTGGAGAGAACTTAAACATGTCTTATTTGTGTTGTGATGCTGTTTGCTTGAGCTGGGCTCTGGTGCTCCCTCTGGTGGTGGTTGGTACACAGTTATGTAACTCCCTGATACAGGCCCAGCAGCAGCAGCCTCCACAATGCCAGCTGCCAAACTTTCTCTGTGCCCAGACCAGGAAAGAGTCCAGAGGGCAGAGTGTCCAGGGGGCACAGGGTCCAGGGGGCAGAGGGTCCAGGGGGCAGGGTCCAGGGTGCACAGGGTCCAGGGGGCACAGGGTCCAGGGGGCAGAGGGTCCAGGATGCATGCTCACGTCACAGACAGGCCTGGACAGACCACTATTTAGCTCCTTATAATATGTACTTTTTGTAATAGTTGCAGTATTTTGGAATTTACTTAATCATTTCAATAGTGGTCAATTTAATTCAAGCACCTGTCTCTTCCACCTGTCACTGCAGCCTTTACAACTTAAAGTACTTCAGAACAGTCCATCTCTGTGTACACGATACATGTTGTAACATCCCACCTCATAAAACTCTTCCACCAAATACCTGACCAACTATAAGAGTACACCAAACTCTACATCAAGAACCAGTGACTTACTACACTATATCTGTATTTCTACTGCTGCTTTCTTCTTCTTTACTTCCAACTATTGTGTTCCATTTATTTGGAACAAAAAACACCTCCAGACAGAACCTCCAGTTCCTCCAGAGGGAACCACTAACTCTTCCTAACAGAACCTCCACTTCTTTACATAGCATCCACTTTCTCACAGAACCAGAACCACCACCTTCAGACAGAATCTCCTCCTAACAGACCTCCTCCTGACAGACCCTCCTCCTAACAGACCTCCTCCTGACAGACCCTCCTCCTAACAGACCTCCTCCTGACAGAACCACCTCCTGCTGACAGAACTTCCTCCTGACAGAACCTCCACTTTTTTACGTCCACTTCCTCCACTTTCTCACAGACCACCACCTCCAGAGAATCACCTCCGGACAGACCCTCCTCCGTACAAACCCTCCTCCAGATAGAACCTTTCGAGGTATGGAGGAAAAGGTTCAGAGGAGGCACTGAAGTACAGAGGAGGTAAACAGAATGTAGTGATGAGGCACAGAGGAGGTGCTGAGGAGGAACCGAAGGAGACGAGGGACAGTGGAGGTGCAGAGGACGGACAGGGGAGAGGAGGGGGCCTACAGTGGAGGTACAAAGATACAACCCTCCTGTGTGGGACCAGCCCCCTGCCCAAACCTGCCCCACGTGACCCGTGTTCATTCATACTGTGTGTAGGCCCGTGTGAGGATGCTGGTGCTGAGGCTGTAGGCTGTGGAGCTCCACCTGCCTCAGAACAAACCAAACCCGTTACATCATAACGCTCCGGTCATGTCCCCGTGGTGTGCCGTGGTGAAAGGCCCACCGCGCGGCATCTCCAGCCCCAAAGTCGCGCTGTGAGAGCACAGCGTGCGGCCCTCCGCTCCATCACATCCAGAGCTCCACAGCCCCAGCCCGCCCAGCCCCACGGAGCCGCTCCATCACAGCCCCCGCAGGTACAGGCCCACGGGCCGGGCCGGAGCAGCGCGGGGACTGGTGCACGGATGAAAATCAAAGCGGTTACGTCAGCGGTACCGCTGGCGTCATGTTTTTGTTAATGAAAGTCAGGCCGATGCGGTGGATCCACAGGCCGCGGCGCGCACAAAGAGCACCGCCATCAGCGCTCACTGCGGCTCTGCCCCTCTCCAGCCCCGGTCCAACCCCTCTCCTCCCCAGCCCACCGCTGCCCACACCGGCCTTACCTTCACATAGAATCCTCTGGAGCTTTAATCCATGATCCCGGTGCTCCCAGCGCTGCGGCGGGTGCGGAGTGCGGAGCGGAGCAGAGGAGGCTACGCGCGGAGAGATGCCGTCCTGCCCATAGACCCGAGCCGAGCCCCGACAGCACGAGCCGCGCTCCTCTGGACCAGCGCGTGTGATCTACAGGCTTTGTTTGTTTTGGCTCAGTCCTTCTCCACCACACTGAGCCTCTGTCTCGTAATTTCTCTTCAGCACGCTCCAACGCACGCACGCGCGCAGCGCAGGCTTCGTGTCATTTAAAGAGATAGCAGCTGGAGCAGCGCGTGCACGGCCGAGCCTGCGTCCTGCTTATGTAACAAACACCGTGCACTGCAGACGCACTCATACAGAGGCCCGGGGCCAGCCCAGGGGCCAGCAAGGGCCCGCCCACCACGGCCCCGAGACCGCTCCGCGTTTGTCCGGCATGGAGCGGCCGGGTGAGGGTTTGTGACGGCTCCGGATGAGCCAACACTGAGCTGTGGCTCACACACTGACCGGTGTAAAGCAGGAGGCGAGTGTGTGCGGGGGAAGCACTGACAACAACACAGAGTCAAAGTATTTTACTGCCATCTCTGTGTGGCCTGTAGGCCTGCACTGCACCAGCCTCACGCTCTGTGTCCATCACACAGGCTGCAGGGAACAGACCCGGCCTATGAGCCTAACCCTGTTCTGTGTGCTCCAGGTATCACAACACTTGCTGTGATGAGAATGGTTCAATTAGCAGTGCTGAAAGCAGCTAATTGCCCTGTTATGGGCATCACCTCACACAGGAAGTGACATCACAGCTGTGCATCTCTGCCCCCTCCCTCCTGTCTGTCTTTCTCTTCTCGATCTGTGCCTTTGTCCGGGTCCAGAGAGGCAGGAGCTGAAGAGGAGCTATTTTTAGCCCTACACACTCCCACCCCCACCCCATAAACACACACACACACACACTATGTAAACACACACAGACAGTACAAAGTCATGTGGCGGCCCAAACCAGGCTGGGCTGCACATATGCCAGATGAATAATGCAGGCGTTCTGGGGGACACTCAGATGGAGCCTGGGGGAGGTGATGGAGGGGAGGGTCTGTCCACTGTCCCCCACATGTCCACTGTGAGGGGACATATACACACTCCGTCTCTCTGCTGAGGAAGCTGCGTACGGATCGCGTGCTGCTGGTGATGATGATGATGGTGGCAGAGAGGAGGACCCAGCCTCGGCGATGACTCAGCCTCCCTGTTGCCATGGAAACTGCATCTCTGCATCCGTCTCCTAGTAACAGAGCGTCGCCGGGGAAGAGCAGGGGATGGGCCTGTGTGTGTGGAGGGGCCAAATTACACTTATGCAGATGTCAAACACAGAAATAGGCTCTGTGATTATGTCAAAATGTTTATTGACCAGTCATTATTTTTGGACAGAAATGCTACAGCTCGTTTTATTTTCTCTGACTCTTCCTGTCCTGTTAAAGATACACTATGTTTAAAACATAGTAGGTCATGGACTTCAGCATTCTGTTATAACAACATTGTAACAACTTAAAAAAAATTGCCTACTTTTTGTTTTAAATCAGACCTATTTTGCTAAACTGACATTTCACAGCTTTTCACCATGTTATAGTTTCTTCTCATTGACCCTCTGAGGTTGCATTTGGAGTGATCCCTGATTTCACCTCCACTGCGACGTACACACTTCCTTCTCCAGTTTGATTTTCTTTACTAGTGTTGTGTCGTTTTTTTGGTCCAAATGTAAAAAAAAAAAAGCTCTGCTCTAGTGTGATGTGCAGCTCTCCATACGAGGGGCCCACAGCCAGCGGCGCTCTGTTGTGATGACGTTTTTGGTGATGTCAGCTCCCATTGGACACTACGGTTTTCTAACACAGAAGTGTGTGTGTGTGTGTGTATATATATATATATATATATATATATATATATATATATATATATATATTTATTTATTTATTATTTTTATATATATATAGGGAAGGGAGGGTGTGTGTAGTACAGAGTTTCTAAATGCAGTGACACAAACATTTACATACACATATATTTTGACATTGTCCAAGAGTATGTTGTTCTTATTTGTTACTGTGCTTTGTCCAGGTGGGGTTTTGCCACAGTCTATAGGTCAACAGTGTGTTTGTTTTTTGTGTCCAACGATTGAGCCGCCTGCTCCATAGAAATAAAATCCAAAAAATCTTTGTACCAATTGTCTATCTCGAAGCACTTATGTTTGCGTTCCTTCCAGTTCATCATAATAATACGTTTTGCTGATAAAAACCCCAGTGATAATATGTGGTCCAATTTTTGGGATGACAAATCTTGAGTTCTTATTCCAAACAGGCACAACAATGGGCATGGAGAGATCTGCACATCAAACATACAAGACAGATAATCCATTGTAATGCTCCAATATTGTTTCACTTCAGGGCAATGCCACA